CGTTGACGTGTCAGATGTCAGCATCCAGAGTGTCATCTCCCTGATGCACTCAGCTTGGGTAACATTAGACCAGGCTCCTAACCTCTCTCTTCTAGGATCCCCTTCTAGTGAAAACAAAGTTGCTGTTCTTTCTGTTCACTGTTCCAGTTCCACATCCCTGCCCTGGTCCTGTCCCTGACTGTTCCTGTCCCGGTCCTGATCCTGACCATCTCCCCTTCACTGCTGAGATTCCGTCACTGCCATGGGCACTCGCCAGCCCCTTCACCGTCGGTGACGGGTAGCACTTCAAGAGGGAGGTCCGGCCCTGAAAGAAGGAGGTGTCCGTCTCCTGTGTGCTATCGTCCTGGAGGTGACACTTCAAGAGGGAGGTCCGGCCCTGACGGAAGGAGGTGTCCGTCTCCTGTGTGTCGCCGCCAGTCGAGACATCTCAAGATGGCAGTGCATGAACATTCCCCCTAAAGCCATTGATACCGGGTTTTATCCCTTCAGGTTTTCCTGGATCCACTTGCCAAATGGGATGGCGTAAAGTCTGAGACATTTACAATTTTAAAGTTTCGTTAACTTCACTGTTGAGACCTTGTTTTGCTTTTGGGTGGTTTACGTTCCTCTTTCAAAGAAAAGGAGGAGTAGTTGCAGAGTTAGAGTCATTAACAAGTGGTCATTGTACCGCTGCAGTTCTCATAGCAAGGTCCCTACAGTGTTGTCCCTGGCTACGCATCAACAACGCTTCCGCGCTCCGCTCAGTCTGGCTCGGTCCGTCCTGCTAGACACACCCCTGTATCCAGAGCCCCAATAAACTCCTGTCTCAGCATTACCTTGTTCTTCTTCAGTCCGAACCTCGCAGTATTATAAATGATCGGTATTTCAAGTATTATGTTTAGATAATTGTGTCACTTTCCGTGGTTTTCATCATTAAAAAAAAAGTTTCCCAATTACGTAAGGGAGTTTAAAACGGAAGCAATAACATGAATGCAATCGGAAACTAGCATTTTGGCTCGCGTTTTTTGAGCCCCAAAACAAAACCGTACATGCTTAAGAGCCTCAGCACCGTCATTCGTTTTGGCGCTATTTTGTAACTCTTACATTCAAAATAGAAATCGCTGAACTTCCATGACCTACAATTTCACCGGTCACTTTCAAGCTAAAAATTCACTGTTTATGCGGCTTTTTTAAAGTAATATGGATTATTATATTACAGGTATTATTCGTGTACCGTCAACCGGGAAATCTTACTAAGCCATCCCCGTCAGAAGTTTCTTCATGGATTGGGGTAACTTCTGAGGGGGATGGCTTAGTAAGATTTCTATGCGAGCTGGCAGCGGAGCCTGTCCGAAATTACCCCGGATGTCCGAAGTTACCCCAGTTTACGGTATTGGGCTTGCTTTCGAAGTAAGGAGTCAGCTTCCCTTGATGACCCCTCATGACCTGTATTTTGCTACGTATTTCGTGTCATCACCGTAAAATGCATTTAACATAAATATAGTGACCTTTATCTGTGCTTGCGGGTTCTGCGTTAGTTATAATTCAAACCATTTCAACGTTCGTGTACTTAGTTCAAATGTTTTCCCCCCAGTGCTATTTCGCGTTTTTCCACGTTTAAGGGTAAACGGTCACCAAAATTCAAGTTGTTTCCCCCGTGTCCGCCAAAAAATTTCTTCGGGACAGTTAGGTCAGATTTCTCCGGCTTTGGCGCCCTGACTGTCGTCCCCCTCCCATGTAAATGAAGGCGCGAGTGGCACCTGGTCGCCGTGCGTGGGCGTGGGAACGCCGGGGGCGGTAGCGGGTGATTCTGTGCGTAGGGGGTCATTTTGGATGTACCAAATGTTCTTTTTTAAAGTTCAACTTTAGGGGCTAAATTTGGTGTAGATGGCATACATAGTACCCCACAGTACCCCTCTGAGCGTGGCAGCGCTACAAGTTGACTTTTATTTTCACTCCCTATGAAATACGGCGGAATTTACTGAAATAATGACGGAATTTACAGATTACGGAATTTACAAAGCGAAGTTTTTAGTCTCCTGAACCGCTGGGTTACAAGATAGGTAAAAACTGTTGACGGTGTCATTTTCAGCATCCAAAATAGCATTTTTCAGCGAAGGTTGTGGGAACTTTCTCCCTCAGATGGAGGAGCTACGGCCCGAAACGGAATTTACATCCATTTTTACACCCTTACCGTTTTGAACTCTTCTGACGGCCTGGAAGCGTCGTTTGACCGCCCCAGGTCCCGTGTGCACGGGCTTCTGGAAGTGTTTTTTATGTTCTTTCGATCCCAAGTGGTCGCGAGTTTCTAAAATGAAAAGGAACCCCAGTAGACCGTCATTTGTAAAAACAGCATAGGTCACATGGTCACACGGTGGACATTTTCCCAAAGGCTGTTTCGAGTTCAACAAGTGATGATACAAAGGTCACCCTCCGTAGTTTTGTGAAGAATAAGTCAGGGGAGAGAGTGAAATAGCCAGTTTTCTTTTGATATGGCTGAGTCATATACTACAGCATGGCAATGTTGTCTTATAGGTGTTGGTGACCATGACGGAACTTACAAAACGACACTTTAGCAGCTTACGAAACCCAGATAAACAAAAGTTAGATCGACTTATCCACATGAGGACATGGTCTTCGTTTAGTAAAACAAATTTGAATTGCCCAAGCTACCAAATCAACCTCAGTTCAGGCGCAAGGCCCCGGTGACCTGAAATGACCCCCTACGCACGGAATCACCCTAGCCTCGCCCCGACTCAACACCGCGAGCATGACTCAATCTGATTATCTGCCGCTATCTCTTATTTGACGAGTGCTGCGCCCCTCGACAACACTGGCAGTGACGTCACTGGCGTGCGCGGTGCGCTTTACAAAGAAAATGACATCTTGTGATGCGAATTTGACAGAAAATACCACGTCAAACACAGGTCATGAGGGGTCGCCAAGTAATGTATGAGATGCCGACCCCTCGGGTGGGTACCTGAACTAGCTCGGCCCTAGAAGTAGTGTTCACTCTGACCAAACTGGATAAGTAAAGGTCAACGGCCAACTTCGAGAAGGAACTAGGGTTTTCCCACATGCCGGCATGTACGGTTATATTTTAATTATTATTATACAATAAACACTGCCTCCATGAAGTGGAAGAAGTAGACAACTCAGCTTCTATCAATCCTCGAGAGAGACATTGAACTGTTTGCAGGGAAAACTAGAACGGAATGATTGATGCAGATGACCACTAATTCTTGAAGTGGGATTAATAACGGAAAATTTGGAAAAGTGTATTGTTACTTCATCGATGGGTTTATGATGGCCAGAGCTTCTTTGGAGTGCTCTATTAGTGGAGACGTGTGATAGTATTATTAAGGCAAGACATGGAAACTTATTTCAGCCCGGGGCTTTAAAGGGGTAAGCAGAGCTTCGGTAGGCACTGTAAGAAAAAGTGTGAATAGTACAACGGAAGTACAAAATAAAAAACTGCACAATAAAAGTACAACAGGATTGTATAAAGTACGACGAGAATTGTGCAAACCACAACGAGGCCTGGACTGCCCTGCACTCGTCATGTCAGTTATCCATTGTACATTGCACAACAATTGTTGTAATTAGAAAGTACACTCTAAATGTCTTACCATGAAATTTGACCTATGTTATTCGTATGTTACAGTGAATTCTGCGCAAGTATAATACGAAGCAATATTTCTTCGTAATACGAATCTTTTAGCCATTTTCATTGTAAGATACGATGAAAAACCACCTTCGTATTACGCTTGCGCCATTTCCTTCGCATTGGGAAATTTCT